TGTGCAAAAACCAATACTACACTTGATGCTATTTCAAAATTCAGATGTGCACATCCCCCGAAGGACAGGATCTCAGGAGACAGTAAAGAGGTTAATGTAACTCCATCTGGGAATGAAAAGGTTAATGTAACTCCATCTTGGAACTAGCTTCCCACTCTCCTCCTGGGCAAGGTCGCCCAGGTGGACAAGTCTATCAGAAGGAGACTGGCTCCCTCCTCCGCACTTCTGGGCAGCCAGTCTGAAGAGAACTGGCTCTCTTCCTAGGCAACTAGTCTGAAGGGAACCAGCTTCCCTCCTCCACACTTTTGGGCAAGGTCAATCAGCTCAGCGGGAGCCAATCTATCAGAAACAGACAAGCACACCCCCCCCCCTTTAGAAAGTACCTAACCATAACACCTCAGCCAATAGCAACCCCTCCCAACAAAACACCCAATGGAATTCCTCTATACGCTTAAAAAACCTCCACTCACTTCACTTAGGGGTCATCACCCCACCCCTGCCGGTACGCTATAGGGTGGAGTGACCCAGGCATATGCTTGCATTTAAATAAAAGCACTTCTTTGTTTTTACATGTGTGTATGGTGGTCTCTCAGTGGTGATTTAGGTCCCAACAGCAGGACTCCCACAGGGGTTTCAGACTCCACTGAGGTAGACAGGGCCGTGGGCCCAGGAGGATCAGGGGTGTTGTGCCTGATGACCCAGCTCATTCCTTAACTCTGGCCCCACTCCAGGCCCCAGGTTAACAGGTTGCTTGGCCATATCTCCTCCTCTCACCTCCTGTGTGGGCAGCAGCTCTCCTAGCCTCAGTGGCCTCTTGGGTCTTTCCCTTAGCCTTCCCTGGAGGGTGTGGCTCCAAGAACCTGCCTCACCTCCTGGCCTCCCAAGACTGTGGCCAGTATGGGCACAACCAAGAGAAGGGGTGATCCTTAGCCAGCTAACAGCCCCAGCCGACAGGAACAGGAGCTCGCCTGTGGGGGTCATGAGGCAGAGTCCAGGCGCTGAGGGACAGTGGCCCTCACAGGCCTTCCCAGTACCTGCTGCAGCTGCCCTCAGGCTCTAGGCAGATGCTGTGTGGGCTACCCCAGTGCCTTCTGTCCATGCCCTCTGCCGCTTCCAGGGAAGGCCTGGCAGCATCCCTGATACACAGGGCAGCACCTGACCTCTCCCTGGACTTTCAGGCCATGTTGATACTAGAATTTCTAATTCAGTATGTTCCTGGTCTCAGTGATTTGAAGAATAAATCCACTGAAACACAGATCAGTGGTAAGACAGGATTTATTTTATAGAAAAGAATACAGAGGGAAAAAATCACCAACGCTCTTGGCAGAGAGAAAAACCCAAGAGGGAAGAAAACTCTCTCTTTCTGCCTGGGTTCTTTGTCCAGGGTATAGATAGTCACTTGGGTCCTCTGTAGTTACATTTGGCCAGGACTTGGTAACAAATGAATGGCTACAACCTCCTTTATTCACAGGCCCCTGTGGCTAGTGGAGCCTCCTGCTGCCTCCACCAACCCTCTGGTTCCTCTGCCAGCTACCACCACACCAACACCGCCAGAAGGGTAGGGGGCCTTTGGGAAGAGAATCTGCTGCTAAAAGTAAGCTTGGGGAGGCCTCAGAGCTTCTAACACAAGGTGCCTTGGGAAAGCTGGCTTCTCCCAGCCACTGTGCGGACAGGTGGGGAGAGCAGAGATAGGGAAGGTGAGGGTGGGGGGTAGGCAGGTGGAGGCCCTCAGGGCAACCATGACATGAGGGGCTTCCGGGCCCCAAAGGCCTGCTGCTCTGCTCACTCGTGGGCCCCCTCTGCCTCCAGCCTCCCTGTGGGGGCTACACCCCTTTTCCTCCACCAGCCCCTGCAGCTGAGGCCTCTTCCCCACATCCCCCACCTCAGAGAGTGCCCCAGACACAGCTGTAGAGCCTCAGGCCACGAACCAGCCTGGGAACCTGTGCCTCTGGAGAACAGAACTGTGTGGCATTCAGGCTTCCCTGCCTGACCCAGGAGTGGCCCTTGGGGATTGAGCCCATTTCAGGGGTGCTCTGCGGACACCTGAGACCCATCTTCCTCCTCAGACCTCTCAGACAGTAGAGGCTCATGGGGCCTTTGCTCAGTGGGGTCTTTGGGGACATCTCCCACCAAGCCTGGCTTTAACTGGCCTGTGTAGATCCAGGCACTCCAAACCACGTGCTGTGGACAGGGCCCGCTGCCTTGCAGGATTTACTTCTGCGGCTGGTATCAGTGTCTGCAATGGACGGACCCTCCACAGAGGGCAACGCCCCAGCAGTCACCGCAGACTGTACCAGGAGAGGCAGAGGCAGCCGCTGGGAAGCCAGAGTAGAAGCCTTGACCGGTGCAAAGCCCAGGAGCCGCCACACCAAGTGCGGGTGGGAATACATGGCCAGCCCTAGCAGAGGCAGGCAGAAGCTCCTGGGCCCATAGTGCCAGAAGACCAGAGCGAGGAGCGGAGTACTCCTCACTCCGGAGCGGTGCTGCACTGGCTGCCCTGGATGGCTCCAGGAACAGCATCCGCTGGCCCCAGCCCCCAGGGCACATGCCCTTCTCTGCCTTCATCAGCTCTGAGGTTCCCCATCCCGCCTCCATGGCTGTGGACCTTGGCGCTGGACACAGCCTCCCACAGGCTCCCGCAGTTGTGAGCATTTCCCTGTTGAACCTGCAGCTGAACTGAAGGCCAGCGGAGGCGGCCCTGGGGGGAACAGATGGTCCTGGCTGGCAGCATGGGCAGCACCTCCAGCAGTCCAGACCGGTCAGAGCTAGCGCAAGAGGGTGGGTGGCTGGGTGCGGTGCAGGCACCAGGGAGTGCTCCAGAGGCACAAGGACTGCCAGAGGAGCAGACCCGGATGCTGGGCGCGTGGCTCAGAGCTACTGAGGGCTGAAAAGCTGCAGCGCCAGGACCCCATGGACAAGAGGCAATGGCACTCACCTCCAAGGCAGTGCACAGAGGCTACACTGTGAGGTGGTCCAGACACCTGGCTCCTCTGGCAGAAATTGTTGGCGGATGGGGTGTCGCAGGTAGTGTCCTGCATGTACTAGCCCACTACCTGCGGCTCACAGCACAGGAAGTCGCGCTCCCCCACTCAGGGCAAGAAGAAGGAGCTCACCCAGTGCCTGCTGTGGTTGAGTCTCAGGTGGAGAAGGTGACCAGGAACTGCAGGTCAGGGGGTTGAGGGGCATGACTGCCCAGGGCACTGTTTGCCCAAGGCCTCCGGCCCTGGAGGACGTAACCCAGTACTGGCTCCCGCAGTCCAGGAATCACCTGGCCTCATTAGCTGAGCTCCTGGGGGCAAGACAGCCGCTGCCTTGGTCCAATGGTGGCGGGGGTTGGGGGCTGCTCCATGATTGCCCTGAAAGCAGAGGGAAGGGGGCGTGGCCGTGCCTTTGAAGTAGGCGATGAAATTCACATCAGCATCAAGCAGGAAAAGGTGCAGATGTGTGCAGGTGATGACACGAGGCTAAGTGGGCAGGTCCGGGTAGGGAAGCTCGGCTGGTCCTCAGCCCTGGCCCTGTTTAAATCCAGTCAGTGCACACAGTTGGAGAAGGGTGCGTCGGAGACAAACCTCGGGGCTCTGTCTGCCAGCTGCGAGGCGGCAAAGAGTAGCGGTTGCGAACAGGAGGCGCTTGAGCAGGCCGGACGCGTGCGGGCACCCAGGAGAGCTGGACAGCGCCCACCCACACGCGCAGCGCTGGGAGAGGCTGGAAGCGCGGCGGCTGTTGGGTGCAAGGGCGGGGACGTCATCTGGGGCCCGTGCACTGGAACCCAACGGGTTTGCTCAGCCAGTTCCTGTTGCGGACTTTGGAGCGCGGGAGTGTCGGTGTTGGCAATTGCAGACAAAGCGAGTTGACTTCTTGAATTGGTCTCTGGGAGGAAGGGTGAAGCCTGGGGGAGGGGAGAGGAAGGCAAAGCCGGGAGGTGGGAGGTTGAAGCCCGGGGGCGGGAGTTGAGGTGTGTGTGAGCACCTAGACCCCGGCCATGAAGAAGATCTTCGGCCTCGGGAGTAAGCAGGGGCAGCCGCCTCCAGGCTTTGTCACCAGACTACAGAAGATCAGGGGCACCGTCGCCTGTGACACTGGCAGCATTGATGAGACCTTCACGGAGCCCAGGTACCACATCCGAACCAGAGATCTGGGCAAGATCCACAAAGCTGCCAGCCGAGGTCAAGTGGACAAAGTCCAGCAGCTCCTCCTCCTCGGGAAAAGCCGCGTGAACGACAGAGACAGTAACAGAAGGTGATGGGACTGTGCCCAGAGGTGGGGCGGGCTGGGAGCTGTGCCAGAGGAGCCACTGCCTGGGCAGGCCAGGGGAGCCTCAACCTCCTGTCACCAAGGGCGCCCGGCTTTCTTCCCTCCACAGGCCCCCAGCACCTGGCAGTGGAAATGTTGGCGAGGAGCCCCCAGGCCACCTCTGAGCAGCCACGCACATATCTAGCTGGCTTTCCATCCACTTAGGATTCCTCTTACAGAGCACTTTGGTGACAATTTTCAAGTGATTTACATAACAGAATTAAATGTATACAGCATTTCTTCTTTTTTTTTTTTTTAAATAGCTCTAGGAGTAGAAGTGTTTTCTGTTACGTGGATGGATTGTATAATGCTGAAGACAGGACTTTCAGTGTACCTGTCGCCAGATGTGTATGTTGTACCTGTAGGTAGACCTTTTTCTATCACCCCCACCACGTTCTTTGATTGCAGCGTCCATTACACCTCTTTATGACCACATATACCCCCCTGTTTAGCTCCCTCTTTAAGTAAGACTAGGTGTTGTTTGTTTTTCCCTCCCTGAAATAGTTCACCTAAGATGCTAGTCTCAAATTCCATCCAAGATGCTGTAAAGGACATTATTTCCCTTCTTTTTAGGGTTGAGTAGTTGCCATAGTGTATACAGAGGGTGCAAAAAATGTATACACATTTTAAGAAAGGAAGAATCTGTATTAAAATTGTAACATTCAAGTCACATTGACTTCTGCAACTATAAGAGGTCCTCAAATGGGATTGGTATTCATCTTTTGTTATGGGTACATACTGAGTTTAGCAATCTTAGTACAGTTTTTTTTCCTTTCTTAAAATGTGTAAACAGTTTCAAGCACCCTTTGTATGTGAGATCTGACAACTAAGTTTGTGAACTCACCCTAGAAAAAGTGCTAGATATCTCATTTCTGAATATCACTATATTTAACTTCCAAATACTCCTTTTAGGAGGCTGGGCACTGACATCAGTACCTAGTTTACCCGTCAGAGCAATTTTGGGACTCTTTTACTAGAATGACCTTCAGAGCTGTCATTGTACAAGTCTGACAATTAAGTTTACAAACTTGCTACTATGTACCTACATTGGTAGCACTGTCCAAACAACTCGGCAAGGTTTCATAACCTGGTGTATCAGTGTCTGTTGTTCACGTCTATTGTGGCAGTGTCTTGTTGAGTGGTGTTCATTATTGTGTTTGCATGTTTTTGAGTGCCATACAAAAACCACTTTAATTAAGTCCTCTTTATTTTTGGTTTTGGTTCTTTTTATTTTGCCATTATTATCTTTGGGGTCTTAGTCATAAATTATTTCCCTAGACCAATATTTAAAATAGATTTTTTTCTACATTTTCTTTTAGAATTCTTATGGTTTCATGCCACACATTTAAGTCTTCTATCCATCTTAAATTAATTTTTGTGCATGGTAAGAGATGGGGTCAAGGTTCATTTCTTGCATGTGGCTATCCAATTTTCCCAGCATCATTTTTTGGATAGGGCTTCTTTCCCTAGTGTATGCAGTCTGCTTTGTTGAAGAATGGTTAGTTGTAGGTAGGTTGTACTACATTGTGTTCTGTTCTGTTGGTCTATGCCGCTGTTTTGGTGACTATCCATCCCATTGTGGTATAGTTTGAAGTCTGGTAGTGTGATGCCTCCAGATTTTTTATTTTTTCATTAAGATTGCTTTGGCTACTTGGGCTCATTTTGGCTTCAAGCAAAGTATAGAATTATTTTTTTCTAGATCTGTGAAATATGACTTTGGTATATTGATAGGATTGGACATTTTGACAATGTTGATTCTACTGCATGGTATATATATGTATATGTTATATATTCTACGGCATGATTCTATAAGTACAATAGAGTTTCCATTTGTCTGTGTTACCTGTGGTTTCTTTCCTCAGTGTTTCCTCATTATTTTTATAGACATCATCTTTTGCCACTTAAGATAAGTATATTCCTAAATACCTTTTTTTTTTTTTTTTTTTTTGCAGTTTTTGGCTGGAGCTGGGTTTGAACCCGCCACCTCCAGCATATGAGGCCAGCGCCCTACTCCTTTGAGTCACAGGGGCCACCCAGGACTTTATTGTTTTTTATAGCTTTTGTGAATGGTTTTTGATGTGACTCTCAGCTTGAGCGCTCCTTATTTGTATACATTAATTTTATCACCTGAGACTTTTCCAAATTCATCAATTCCAACATTCTCTTGGTGAAGTTTTGGGGATTTCTTTTGGATATGAGATTATATTATATAATTAGGGAAAAGTGATAGTTTGACCTCCTCTTTTTCAGTGTGGATTCCTTTTATTTCTGTCTCTTGCCTGATTGCTCTGTCCAGGACTTCCAGAACTATGTTGAATATAAGTGGTGATAGTGGGAACTCTGGTCTTGTTCCAGATCATAGGGAGTGTTTTCAACTTGTCCCCAGTCAGTATGATGTTGGTTATGAGTTTGACATGTATGACTTCTGTTTTGAGATTTGAGCTTTCCTTTCAGGCCTGGTTTTTTGAGGTTTGTTTTATCATGAAACGGTGCTGTATTTTGCCTAATGATTTGTCTGTGTCTGTTGAGATGATTAAATGATCTTATTTTGCTATCCTTTCTATGGTGAATCAGATTCATTTATTTACATATGTTGGACCATCCTTGCATCCCTGGGATAAAGCCCACTTGGACATGGTGAGTTATATCTTGATGTACTGTTGAATTCAGTGTGATAGTAATTTATTGAAGGCATTTCCATCTATATGCATAAGGGATATTGGCTTTTAGTTTTCTTCTTTTTAAATTATTCATTAATTTATTTTCCTTTTTACTTTTCTTCTTTGGTTATGTCCTTTCCTAGCTTTAATATCAAGGTGATTGGCTTCATAGAAAGAGCTGGTGAGGAGTCCCTTGTTGTTCATGTTATGGAATAATTTCTGCAATTTGGGTGATAGCTCCTCTTGGTAGGTCTGATATAATTTGGCTATGAATCATCTTGTCTATAGTTCTTAGTATTGTGAGATATTCTCCATGGAGGATAGCATTACAGGGATGGTGCTGCCTAGGGTCTGCCCACAGAGTTCACAGTCTCACCTAGGTCAGGCTATTTAGGCAATGGTTATGGGATCCCAGAATGTGGGTATTTGCTCAGACTGGATCCTGGTGTATTGCTAGCTGAGGTCTATTTTTCCCTGGTGAGGTGATACACCTTGGGGAAGTTGTGAGAGATGAGTTGTAGTGGAGGAGACTCAGGGGTGGGATACTGGGGTTTAAGTGCTGTATTGGAATCTCAGGAGTGATGTCCTGGACATGGCAAGAGCTCTGGAGTCACAGGGGCAGAGCCTCTGGCTCTGGCTCTTGCATGAGAACCTCAGAGCCAGAATTGGGTTAACTATTTTTCTCAAAAATGTTAACTCTTCCTATGTTTATTGATTTTACATAAACCAAATAAAAATGTACAGTTTTCAAATTTTAATGTTACACATAGTATTTCTTACTAGAAGGGTGAATTCTATTAAGTATAGAGTATAAATGTCTTAACACAATAATTAAGTAAATGAGGTGAAGGGTATATTAACTAGTTTGATATAAGCATTCCAAGTTGTATATTAAATCAGCACAAAGTCATTAATGTATAAAAAAGAAAGAAAATATATTTGATGGGCTGAAAAATTTTCCCTCCTAAATATCAATATGTAGCATTAATTTTTATAAATTAATCATTTACTAATAGCTGAATAAAATATATATGAATGGAATAGAATAGAAAATCCAGACGCTCAAATATATGTAAGAATTTAGAATAACGGGTACACTTTATATAGCTAGAAAAGATGAACTATTATGCTTTGTAGAAAACTAGCTAGATTTTTATTTCATCAAATGAGGTCCTAACTGAATACAGATTAAAAAATTTAAGTATAGCAAATGAGAACTATACTAGAAGTACACATAAATGCCTATTTATATAGGCACATTTTAATGGTGACAAAAACCTTCCTGAGAATGACCTCACAAGCAAGTGTTCTGCAGGTTGATTTAGCAAAATTAAAATTAAAATCCGCAAAGTAAAGAGAACATAATTATGAAATATTTATAAATGTGTGTAAAGATGAAAAGTGTGTCTTCATTGTACAGGGAATTCTTTCAAACTGAGACAAATACTAACGTCAGATTTAAAATTAGGCAAAGTAACTTTTTGAACACCTACAAGTGACCTGTGTCCATAGGAAAAATATATTTAGTGTTCTTGGTAAGAGAGGGAATTTAAATGAAAAGAAGAATGAAATACTGTTTTTATACACATAAAAAGTTTGTCAGAATTCACAGCAATGGTTCATATAGTGCTGCTAAAAATTTAAGTTGTTGATGACTTTCCACATAAAAAGCTTGGGGATAAACACCACATTTTAAAACTGTGCATGCTTTTTACCTATGAATTCCATGACACAAACGTGTCTTTAGAAGATAATTGGAGATATATGCAATTTATTTTTCTCAGCATTGCTTAAAACAGCAATCTATAAAGAAATACCCATACAACAGATTTGAGAAATAAATGTCAGTGTATTCATAGGATAGAGTAATATGCGACTGCTAAAGGTGGGATTACTTACAGAAGTGTGTTATATGCAAAGACGTAATTGGCATCTCAAGTGAGAATAAAAATCAGTACGATTATGCATATACACAAAAAGTCTATGGCCTCATGTTAGCTACAAATATTCCCAAAATGTGATTAAATCTGTTCTTCAGGTATTGGCATTATATGGGAAATTTTTTCTATTTTTTATCTGTGATTTCTCCAATGGGTGTGTATGAGTGCTTGAATGAAAGTTTATTTCTAATGAAATAATCCTTTGGAAGAGGAAGAATTGAATCTTTGTAGAGATGAAAATAAATTTTTATTCTGTAAATATTTTTATTTTGCTTTTTTTGAGACGAAGTTTCACTTTGTCATTCTTGGTAGAGTGCTATAGTATCATGGCTCACAGCAACCTCAAACTCATGGGCTCAAGCAATTCTCTTGCCTTCGCCTCCCAAGTAGCTGGGACTACAGGAGCCCACCTCAGCACCCTGACTGTTTTTAGAGATGGGGTCTCTCTTGCTCAGGCTGACCTGAAATTCATAAGATGAGGCAATCCACCTTCCTTCACCTCCCAGAGTGCTAGGCTCACAGGCGTGAGCTGCTGTGCCTGGCCACTATTATCTTTATTGTGGATTGGTATCTTCTTTCAACTTTTAGCCTCTTCAAGAGTAAAGGGAATCTTTTATCTGAGCTTCTACATTTTACTTCATATGTGTTTTTATTTTATAGACTTCTTATGATGTGTTTTTATAGATTAATCATTTAATTTTCATTCACTGTGTCCATATTAAAATAAAAATAGCAAATATCAATGATTTTTGCCATTGTAAAAGTATTGCTTTTCTGTATGTGTTTTCTTGAAGAATATTGAACTTGCTGACTATATGGACTATGGTCTCTGTCCATTTCAAACTGTTTACACATTGAGCTTGACATTGAGCTACCCTGAATACCTAATATACAGCAGACATATTTTACATTTCTTAGCAATCCTTTCATCCTTACAAAGTTCATGTTTCCTTGCCCAGCCTGAGAAAATTCAGAGATTTATAAATGGAATATTAGGAGTTAATCTCAAATGAAACTTTTGCTCCCTCTTGTCAGACTAAAATATGTCTGCAGCTAGAAAATTGTTAAAGATCATCTTGAACTCCCCTTTGAAAGTATATAGTAGTCAAATACTAATGATAATCATTTAAAATATTTGATTTGCTTACATTTGGTAAATCAAAATATTGAATAGATAGATGAGCCACACTTCTTCATTTGAATCATGAGTTTCTTTTGGCTTAAAGTAAGAACTACTTTGTTTTTAAAATTTTTTATTATTTTCTCCCTCTTTCCTCATAGTACTTTTAAGAACAAAAGTTCACCTAAATGCCAGTCATATGACTAGAACTGCCATAGACCTATTTTACATACCATGTTTCACTGAATGGAAGGCACAGTGGATTTTGTGATGCCCCATTATCTTAAGTATAGATAAGAGATATTTTTTAAGTGCTGCCAATTATAGTTGTAATAAGTTGTGAATTACAAGTGGCATTCCAATATCAGACATGTTAAAATGTGAGAAAAACAGCATCTGAGAATTATTGACATACAATGCTATCTCTGATTATTCAAACATACCAAAAGTGGGTATAATTGTATCATTTTACTTGATTTAAACGTTGTCTCTCTTACATAGTAGTAAGTAATAATTATGATATCTAATATTATTGATCTGTTATGTGTGTTAGGAATACTTTGCTTAGATTCTCGTTTAAGCATCAGAGTGGTGACCTGTGAGAAAGCTACTACTTTTATGCCTATTTTATTGATAAGGAAATTGAGGCAGCGAAAGTATAAGCAATAGCAATTAAGGCACAGAGCTTACAGTAGGATCCAAACCCAAGTTGAATAGAATTCAAGGCCAACTGCACTCTATTCAAATAGGCTATTATTTCATTAATGTGAAGGGTGATACGTGCTAATAAATATTGTACTTTCTTTACAAGAGAATGAAACATGTTTCAAAAGCAGAGGAATAACTTATCATTTCATATGTACAATTAAATAAGTGTATGTTTTGAGATTGTACACCACAATTTTCTCAAAAATCCTCTTCCTTCCACAGGACTGCTCTGCATTTGGCCTGTGCCAAGGGCCATATAAAAGTGGTGAGGCTCCTGCTGAGCAGAAAATGTGAGGTTGATGTGGGTGATAATGAAGGCAGGACGCCTTTGATGAAGGTATATAGTAGCCAACTAGTTCAGCATGAGCTGGATTTGACTTAAATGCATAGAATACATAGAATAAAGTTGAAGTTATCTCCTTTAAATATAATGACTTGGTGGAACCTGTGGAATGCTTACTTGGAATGCCTAACAACTGCCGTCTCTTTCTTGGTCTAATACTGACAGGCTGTACAATACCAGGAAACGGAATGTGCGTTTAATCTGCTAGAGTATGGAGCAGATCCAAATGTAACGGATGACTACGGCAACACTGCTCTCCACTATGCTGTGTACAATGGGAATATGGTTTTAATCACAAAACTGCTTTCATGTGGTGCGAATATCGAAGCCAAAAACAAGGTATAGCTCAAACTCCTTTATTTTCAAAACATGTTGGTACGTAAAGGCATTTGTTTTAATGTTGTCATATGTAAGCCTGAGTTTTCCATAATTGGAAGTTCAGGCATTCCATGAATGAAAATACAGAAGGTATCCCAAAAATGGGTAAGTATTTTAAGAAAGGAATATGCTATATTAAAATTGTAATGCTCAATTCATATTTGACTTCTGGAATTACAAGAGACACAATACAAAATACAGGTGCCCATAAAGCTCCTGTGCCACTATTTTAAATTGCACACGAACTTTCTGGCCACCCTGTATAAGATAAAAAATGTTATCAGTATGTGTGTGTACATTGAGTATTAGAATTTTAATACAATTTTTTCCTTTTTCAATTTTTACCTAATGTGTGTATACATTTTTGGTACATTCTGCATTTTGAAATAATTGCCTATCATTTAACTTTAACTATTGATGCTTTTAAAGAAGCAGTAGGGGATACAGCTTTGTTATATGGATTTATGGTAAACTAAATTGTTAAATTTAAAACTTTTTCCTTTTTGAATGTTTTTCCCATCTAAGATTTTTCTTAATTCGTGTAAAACACCACAAGAAAGCAAAATTTGCTCTACAGAGCAATAGGCTTTGTCTTAAAACTTTTCCAAAACAAACTTATTCTATCAATACAATAATTGAAAATATTGTTCACAAATCCCTAAAACATAAATCTCGGTGAGAAAGAGACTTATCATTCAGTGTCAAGGCTTAAGAGGGAAAAATGGAAAGAAAAAGTAAAGTGATTATAAATATGCAGGTTGTTTGGAAATTAGGCAATCGAGGGAAAATACCAAGATGTCATTTATTGTCTGTATTATTTTTTCCTTCTATTGTTTTTCCACCTTATACATTTAAACCATGTTCTCTTCAGTTTAGGGAATGATCATTCTATATTTGGGAGAGAGAGTTAGTGAGAACTAAACTTGCCTAGAGATCAGTTGTAAGAGGACTCTGATGAACCTAGATTGGCAGCGAGTCAGTGGAGATCAAGTAGGAAGCAAGAGGGAAGAAGAGATAATTGCCGACTCCTCCTCTCCTGGCAGAAATGGCTGCTCACATAAGTCTGGACACTGCTTTCAAATCTGAAATGTCTGGGTAGGAAGATGAAAGATAAGGAGCTTATTAAAAGGAAAATCAGATTGCATTTTGAGTTTGCTAATACGTGCTCTCTGCCTTTCTGGAAAATTAAATGTAATATTCAGTAAATAACTCCATCTCTTACTCTTTCTGCTTTCTTCCTGGCCAGATTCCCCAATAATAAAGGGAATCATCTATATGGATGAGAGATGAGACTGAAGTGATGGTCAGCTGCACTGGCTTTCAGCTAGAATTGTGCATTATAGTGATCTGGAGAGATTAATAAATATATATTATAAATCTAGGTGCAGATTTATGAAACCTCATAAGACACAAGGATATTTAAAAATATTTTCTTGAAGCCGGGCATGATGGTGTGTGCTTGTAGTCCCAGCTAGCAGGAGGCTGAGGTGGACGGATTGCTTAAACCTAGGAATCTGAACTCAATCTGGGGCTGGGTGACAAGCAAGACCTGCCTCTAACAACAGTAATAAAAAACTTCCTTGAGATTTTACTACACCCCTGATTAATAACCACTGAACACATAAATGTACTGTATGAATTCCCATATCTCAAAAACCTTGTTGTGAAGACTCTAGAGGAGTTGGAGTTTAATAGGTGGCACTTCCTTCAAGTCTCTCCTTTCCAATGACATTAGCCTGTCTTTTATCTGTCTATCTCTACCTCTGTGGTTGAGAAGCTAAAAAGAATATGATTGATAAGATCTGTCAGCTTACAGATAATCCTATGTTCCTTCCAACCACCAATCATTCACTGCCACAAAGTGGCTGATTTGAAATTAGATTATGTTCAGTCTTTCAAAAGTGGAGGTTGCATTTTTTAGGGTATTTGTTATTCAGGCACTTAGGTTGACAAATATTTATTACAAGTAGGGTTATCTCAACTGGAATAAGTAGCAAATATTGAACAAGTTTTAAGTTGAAGCGGCATTATGGACTATCTTAGTACGTCTCTTAAGTTCATACAGCTTTGGCATAATCAGGATGGCAGTTTTAAGCATTGAAAACCATGAATTTAAAAGACTACAGATAGAAATTTCAAAAACAATGTAGTTTCAGCAGTCGTATGAACTAACGATCTATTTGGTTAACAACCAGGGAAAATTCAATGCCAATAGCTTATAAATGAATCATTGGAATAATTATTGGAACAATGAATGGAATAGTTGTTGGAATAATTTTGAAGTGTTTATTATGAGTTTTAATAGCAATATTTATTACATGTTGGGGCTTGATTTCTTTTAGTAAAAGATATGATACCAAAGAAAGGAAAGATTTTACATGGAAATAAATACTTACTTCACACACAGTGACTGTTTGGAAATCATGGTACATCCATAGCAAATAAGAAAACGCAAGGGCTAAGTGTGGCTCACAGGTAGGTTTAGTTTGCATCCGTAAGTGAGCCAACATGTGACCTTGGGAGACTCATGCAGAAGTCTAGATTTCAGGCTTCTCTTAAGAACCAACCCTGCTATCCCTTGAGCCCATAATACTGTTGGATGTGCTGTGCAGAGATCGCCCCTTTATGTGAGGCACAGGTTCCCCACTTTGCTGCTGTGCATACCTGGGTACTTCACTCAGATCACCCACTTTGCCTCTATACACATTTCATTTTACCACTCGTGCTTTATGGTATATTTTGACAAAGATTTGAAAGTTTCAAGACAGTTTATATTTCTTTATAATTTATAGTCTATATTTTATACAAGTCCCTTATTAATAGGGCTGAGTTGTAGAATTTGAAAATTCTCTCTCTCTCCTTCCTTCTTTCCTTTTTCCTTCCTTCCTTCCTTCTTTCTCCCTCCTTCCCTCTATTCTTTCCTGTCTTCCTTCCTTCCTTTCTTTTTTTCTTCTTTTTCTGGGAGAGAGTCTCACTCTGTCACCCCCAGCTCTAGAGCATAGTGGCATCATTATAGCTCATTGCAACCTCAAACTTCTGGGCTCAAGCAATCGTCTTGCCCCAGCCTCCTCAGGAGCTGTGGCTACAGACATGTGCCACCATGCATGAGTAATTTTTTTCTATTTTTAGTAAAGATGGATCTCCCTCTTGCTTGGGCTGGTCTCAATCTCCTGATCTCAAGCAATCCTCTTCTCTCTGCTTGTCACAGGGTGCTAGGATTACAAGTGTGGGCTACTGAACCTGCCCTAGTTTTCTTAATATATGCCAGAAATAGTCATCTTCACATTAGGTCCCTTATGGTTATAGTTGCATAGGTTATGCATATTGCAAGCAACATTAGATCTTTCTCCTTAGAGAAATGCCAGTCATATGTAGTGCTAAAAATAATCCCTATGGATCTGTATTAGAATTTTTGTTGATAAGGCATTTTATCTTTATTTCTGACTTTTATTTTACTTAAAATAAAAAAAAAAACAGATTGGAAATAAATTTTAAAAAGGAGATCTACATCAGGGCCCTGGAATTATTGTTATAATTTCAAAGAAAAATTTATCTCAAGCTTTCTAACAGCTAAAATAAACTATCATTTATAACAAGAGAAAATCCATAGATCATTTAATAATTGGCAACTAAAGTTTATTTCAAGCCCAGCTCTTCTAATTCAGAGTCCAGTTCCTTAGTCATCCATTTGGAGCAGGAGTGCCTGACTTTGGGATCTAGGATCCTGACACCACTGACAGAAGAAATCCAAGCAAGTTAGGGAAACCAGGAAAAAAGCTCTTCCTTTGCTAGAAAGCTCTCAAAACTTTATCTCTCCTAGAATTCCTCATGTGCTAACATCTGTTACAAAAAGGTGCTGTAAAATGGGGATCAGACAAAGTTTAAGAGATTTCTTGATGATGAAATTTCTTCATAGTGCACAGTTTTGTAATGTTTCTCAAGCATTGATTATGGAATCTTTCTCGTGGGGTATAATCCTCAACTGATGGTAATATAAATATTCTTTGGGACATAGTTTAAGAAACACTGCTCTAGAAAGTATAATTTAGATCATTAATTCAATAAAAATATTTAAAGCATTTACTACTGTGTCTTAGTATTTCAGAATGTAGGGATAAAAGAGATAGCCCGTGCCCTCAAGGAGCTCCTGGTATCTATGGGAGTCAATCAAGTAATTACACTACACCACGATAAATTCCATGATAGAAGCAGAGTCTTCAAAGTGGTAAATGTGTAAAGTGAGCTTTAGAGACGGCCGGAGTTAACATGGTGAGACAGAGGAGGGGTGATTCAAGGTGAAGGAGCAGTGCCTGGAAAGCACAGAAGGAAGGGAGTGCTTTCTACATTACATGTGTACATTCATGGAATCTACCATGGGGTTTTCACTTGAGTTGAGGAATATGTAATTTTATGAATTATAAATTGTTTTTCCTGTTTTACAGAAGCAACTTAACACAAATTTTACTTGCCATAAATGGAAAAAATCTTAAAATGGTGGAATTTTTGGTAAAGAATATGTAATTTTGTGAATTATAAATTGTTTTCCCTTTTTCACAGAAGCAACTGACACCACTTTTACTTGCCATAAATGGAAAAAGTCTTAAAACGGTGGAATTTTTGGTAAAGAACAAAGCAGATACAAATGCAGTTGATAGACATGAAAGGTACAGTAGACTTTTTATCTCAGACTATCATCAGGGTACATACAATTTGGGTTCATAGCTTGCTTTTATACATTTTAAGTCAAAGTTATAGGTGTGTCCTTCATCCAGAAAGTGCGCCATGTGCCCACGGGGTACAGTATACCCATGGGGTGGGAATCTGCACATCTCTTTCTCCCCCTTCCCCTACTTAATTTTTCTTGAGTTTTGCTTTCATATGAGCACATACATGTTGATCTAGTTCCAGTTCAGTATTGAGTACATGTGGTGTTATTTTTTCCATTCTTTTCTTTTCTTTTTTTTTTTGGATTACATATATGTAGGAAACTTGTTTCCTGCAGGTCTGTCTTACAAAAAAATGTTAAAGGAAGTTCTCTTTAGATTGAAGGAAAATGACACCAGAAAGAATGAACAGCACCAAAGTTAGCAAATACACAGATAAATATAAGACATGCTCTTTCACACTGTTAAAATTATTTTTAAAATATCTTTAAGATGATTGTTTAGGCAAAGTGCAGTGGCTAACATCTGTAATCCTAGCAGTTTGGGAGGCCAAGGCAGGAGGATCAACTGACTCTAGGAATTGGAGACCAGGCTGAGCAACCTTGTCTCAACAAAAAAAATCAAAAAATCAGGTAGGCATGATGGTGTGCACTTACAGTCCCAACAATTTGGAAAGCTAAGGCAAGAGTATCTCTTGAGGCCAAGAGTTGGAGGCTGCAGTCAGTTATGCTCATACCACCACACTCTAGCCTTGGCAACAAAGTGAAATCCCATCTGAAGAAAAAAAGAAAAGATTGTTTAAAGAAAAAAAAAACAAAAAACCCTGCATGTTTGGTGCTTACAACGGAATATAGAAATAGAAATAAAAATTCTGATAATTTTTATCATAATAAAAATTATGATAAAATTTCACATGATGGGTGCTGTTATGGTTGTTAACCTTTCCTTTGATCCTGGATACATTGTTCATATCACCATGATTTAATTAGGTGGGAACCTCTCATTTTTTAATTAAATTATAAACACATAGATCATGTATACATTAATGTATTTATGGGGTACAATGTACTGATTTCATATAGAATTAGGAATGCTTACATCACACTGGTTAATATATACCTCATCTTGTTTACTTAATTATTATGTTAGGACATTTATACTCTATACTTAATAGATCCGACATGTAATGTACCCTTGCAATATGCACCATAGGTGTGATCCCACCATTCACCCTCCCTCAATCTGACCTCCCCCCTCCCCTCCCATTGTCCCCTCCTCTCCCTTTCTCTCTCCACCCTTCTTCATCCTTGGCCATAGTTGTGATCTATTCTTCATACAAAAGTGTGAGTGATTGTAAATTGTTTCACAATAGTACGAGTACATTGGGCATTTTTTCTTCCATCCTTGAGATACTTTACTAAGTAGGATATGTTCCAGCTCCATCCATGTAAACATAAAAGAGGTAAAGTCTCCATCAATTTAAGGCTGAATAATATTCCATGGTATAAATATTCCACAATTTATTAATCCATTCATGGGTCGATGGGCACTTGGGCTTCTTCCATGACTTGGCAATTATGAATTAAGCTGTAATAAACAGTCTGGTGCAAATATCTTTGTTATAAAGTGATTTTTGATCTTTTGGATATACACCTAGTAGAAGAACTGCAGAATCAAATGGCAGTTCTAATTTTAGATCCCTGAGTATTCTCCATACTTCTTTCCAAAAGGGATGTATTAGCTTGCACTCCCACCAGCAGCGATGAAGTGTTCCCTTTTCTCCTCATCCTTGCCAACATCTGTAGTTTTGGGGGTTTTTTTGTGTGAGCCACTCTTACTAGAGTTAGATCATATCTCAAAGTGGTTTTGATTTGCATTTCTCTGATGATTAATGATGATGAGCATTTTTTCATGTGTCTGTAGGTTGTATGCCTCACTTAGAATAGTCTCTAATTCCATCCATGTTGTTACAAAAGATGTTCGGCCCTCTTTTTTTGTGGCTGAATAGTATTGGATGATGTACATTATGGATGTTTAGATACACACACATAAAATATATATCACATTTTATTAATCCATCCATGTGTTGATGGTCACTGGGTTGTTTCCACATCTTTGCAATTGTGAATTGTGCTGCTATCAAGACTCAAGTGAAAGTGTCTTTGTTATAAGTGTCTTTTTTTTCCTTTGGGTAAATTCCTAGTAGAGGGATTGCAGGAACAAATGGCAGATCTACTTGTGGTTCTCCAAGTAATCTCCATATTTTCCATAGAGGTTGGACTAGACTGCTGTCCCACCAAGAGTGTATGAATATTCCTTTCTCTCCTCATGTATGCCAGCATCTGCTGCTTTGGGATTTTATGATGTCAGCCATTCTCCCTAAGGGCTAGGTGATATTTTCAATGTCGTTTTGATTTGCATTTCCTTGATGATTAGGGATGCTGAGCATTTTTCCATGTGTTTGTTGGCCAATTGGTCTGTCTTTGTGAGAAAAGTTTGTGTTCATATCTCTTTCCCAACTTTTAATGAGACTGTTTGATCTCTTCTCACTGATGTACTTGAGTTCCTTGTAGATGCTCATTATCAGTCCTTTATTGCATGTGTAGCATGAAAGAGTCTTTTCCAACTCTGCGATTGTTCATTTACTTTGTTGCTTATGTCCTTCATTGGCTGTGCAGAAACTGGTAAACTTGATCAAGTTCCACTTAATTTTGCTACTGGGAATTTTTTTATAAATTTCCCTAGGCTGATATCTATAAGAATTTTTCCAACAATTCTAGATTTTTTGTAGTGTCATGCCTTAGGTTTAAATCTTTTATCTATTGTGACTTAATTTTTGTAAGAAGTGTGGGTCCTGTCTCAGTTTGTTACATGTGTCTATACAGGTCTCCTAGTGCCATGTATTGAATAGGGATTCTTTTCTGTTCTGATCCATAGGTCTTTATTTTTACTTTTTTCTTTATTAAATCATAACTGTGTACATTAATGCATTTATGTGGTACAGCATGTTGATTTGATATACAATGTGGAACACTTATATCTAACTGATTGACCTAAACATTTCCTCACTTACTTGTTGTGGTAAGACATTTATACTCTATTCTTAATAGTTTTAAAATATGTCATTGCATTATGCACATTAGGTGAGGTCTCCCCAGATACCCTCCCTCCTCCTGGCCACCCCACTCCCTTTCCCTCTTCCTACTCTTCCCTCCTCCTTTCCGGACTATAGTTATGTTTTACCATTCCTATGAATGTGTAGGTGATTGGGTGCTGGACACAAGCTCTAGGGCTGGTGGGTTTGAACCTGGCCTGGGCCCGCTAAACAAAAAACAAACAAACAAAAAGAAAAATATATAGAGAAAGTATATCTTTATTTTTATGATAATACCATGATGTTTTGATTATTATAGCCTTGTAGTATTGCCTGAATTCTGATAAAGTGATGCCTCCATATTTGTTCTTATTACATGAGATTGCACTGGCTATTCAAGGGTCTTTTCTGATTCCATATAAAGTGTAGAACTGTTATTTCCGTACTTCAAAATATGACATTGGTATTTTTAATAGGAATTTCATTGAATCCATAAATCACTTTGGGTAGTATAGACATTTTAACAATGTTGATTCTGCCAATCCATGAACATGAAATGTTTTTCTATCTCCTTAAATCCGCTGCAATTTCTTTTCTCAGTGTTTCATATTTCTCCCTATAAAGATCTTCCACCTTTTTTGTTAAATGTATTCCAAACTATTTCATTTTATTTGATACTATTTTGAAGGGCATTGTGTCTTTGACTTGATTTGATGGTTTACTATTGTTAGCATTTATGAAAGCAACAGGTTTGTGTACATGGATTTTGTAACCTGAGATGGTACTCTCTTTGTTTATCAATTCCAGGAGTCCCTTGGTTGAGTTGTTGGGGTTTTCTAGGTATAAAATCATATCGTCAGCAAAGAGTGATAGTTTGTGACTTCTTCTTCCCATTTGGATACTCTTCATGTTCTTCTCCTGTGGGATCGTTTAATAGTGTTTTAGCACTATATTGAATAGTAGTGGCAAGAGTGGACATCCAAGTCTGGTTCCATTTCCAAGCAGGAATACTTACAAGTTTTTTTTTTTTTTTCATTTAATATGGCTGTGGTTTTGTCATAGCTGGATTCTACTATTTTGAGGAATGTCCCACCTATCCCAATTTTCTTAATGTTCTTATATAAAAAGGATGTTGAACTTTGTCAGATATGTTTTCTACACCTATTTCAATGATCATAGGGTGTTTGTTTTTACTTCTATCTATGTGGTAAAATATATTTATAAATTTGCATATTTTTATTATTTTTTTTTGTTATTAAGTCATATACACATAGATCATACATTTGCATATTTGAACCAACCTTGCATCTCTGGGATGAGGCCGACTGAGTTATGATGATTTTTTTTTCATGCAAAGCTGAATTCTATTTTCTAAAATTTTATTAAGAGGGCCATGGGCAGTGGCTCATGCCTATAATACCAGCACTCTGGGAGGTCAGTGCAGGGGAATTGCTTGAGCTCAGAAGTCTGAGATTAGTCTGAGCAAGAGTGATACCCCATCTCTGAAAATAACTGGGTGTCATGGCAGGTGCCTGTAGTTCCTGCTTCCACTACTTGGGAGGCTGAAGCAAGAGGATTGCTTGAGCCCAAGACTTTGCGGTTGCTATGAGCTGTGATGCCACAGCATTGTACAGAGGGTGCCAAACTGAGACTCTATCTGAAAAAAATAAAATGGCATAAATAAAATTTTATTGAGAAACTTTGCCGCTATATTCATTAGAGATAGTGATGTATAGCTTTATTTTTTTTATGTCTTTTTCTATCTTTGGTATGAGGTGATATCCTTTGTTCATAGAATGATTTGGGGGGGTTTCCTTCCTTCTCAATTGTATTAAATAATTTCTGCAATATAATTTCTTGTTCTTCCTTGAAGATTTAGTAGAACTCTGGTCTGGGATTATTTTTGTTGGAAATTTTTTGTTGCTTCAATTTCAGTATTTGATATTAGTCAGCTCAGAAGTTGTTTTAGGGAAGTAGTGTGATTTTAAGAATTTGTCTAATACCTTCACAATTTCAAATTTATAAATATAGAGATGTTTATAGTATTCAGTGATGCTGTTTTGTATTTTTGTAAAATCTGTTTATTCATTTTTTTCATTTTTGATTGAGCTTATTAGAAAATTTACATTTTTATGCCTGATTATCCTGGTCAAAACCTTATTAGATAAAGAACCAACTTTTGCTTCATTAATCTTGTATATGGTGGTTTTTTTGTTCTTGTTTTCATTTAGTTCTGGTCTGATCCGGGTTATTTCTTCTGTTGCATTTGGGATTGGTTTGATGTCATTTTCCAGTTCCTTGAGATATTCCATTAGATGTTTTAATTTATGATCCTTCTGATTTCTGGATGTGGGCATTTCAGGTAGAGTTTCCCTCCAAACAGTGTTTTTGCAGTATCCCATAGATCTTGATAGCTTTTGAACCCATTGCCAGGTGGTTGAAAGAATCTTTTGATTTCTCTATCTCCTCCTTGACCCAAAGATCACTCAGCAAAAAGTGTTTTAGTTTCCATGACATTTTGTGGGAATAAGTGTTTCTGTTAGTATTGATTCATAATTTTATTCCACTATGGTGTGTGAAGACACATGGTGTAATTTATGTTTTTTATTTATTTATTTATTTATTTATTTTGAGACAGAGTCTCACTTTGTCACCTTTGGTAGAGTGCTGTGCCAACATAGCTCATAACAACCTCATGCTCTTGGGTTCAATCAATCCTCTTGCCTCAGCCCGCTGAGGAGCTGTGACTATAGACATCTTCC